CCCATAGGGCCGGGTTTGGGTCGTGACAAATCGCTTACCTGTTATAGGTTTGCGGGGAGAGAAGAGGGGCCAATCCACCTGATTGTGATCAAAATAAAGAAAATTTCCCCCAAAATCGCTCTTCCACACACCAACAATGGTGATTAGACTTGAAGAGAGGGGGGCTGCAGTGGTGGTGAGACGAAGGGTGCTCCTAATGGCTAAGGCGGTGGTTGGTCAGTTGAGAATGAGGTTCAAAATTTGAAACTTCTGGAATTGAGAGAGAGAGAGAAAAAAAAGAAGACAAAAGACCTCCTCTATATAAATATTATATATCTGAGCCAAGCCCTCCAAATAATCTCACCCTTTTATTCTTAAAACCAAAAACAATCTTAGCCATCCACCTAGACAAATGTCTCATCAATTTTTAAAAACCCTCTTCCCTTATTATATTGATATCAATTTGTAGATGCATTTAATCTAAACGTTCCTACAAAAGAGCAACCACTTTTTCCCTCCAAATCTTATAAGGATTGAGATGATAATAAGAAAAAATAAAAAGAGTAATTACAAAAGGGAGTGTGAATACTATTAATAAAATAATAAATAAATAAAAAACTCTTAACAAATTAGAAAAACTCATGAAAAATGATAAATATATATAGGGTTAGATACACTTTATTTTTGCACTTGCATCAAAATTTTATTCGGTTCTTTTATTTTTAATTGTTGTAATCAAGCCCTTACTTTAAGTTAAATTACAATATCAAATTTTCGTTCAAATACCATTTATAAGATTGACGAAAATTAAAAATAGAGGCTCAAAGTGAGATTTAGGTGAAAATATAAAGGTTAAAATAAAATTTTAGTAAAAATATAAAGGTGCTAATAAAATGAAAATGGCTGGTTTCATTAATTTTATTTACACCAAAACTAATGAAATGACGGCTTTGCAATCCGACTGAGAGTTCAATGAGTTAATTGTCATGATTGAAAATTAGAAATCAAAGTGAAATTTAATTTAAAAATCAAGATTACAGAATGTAATTTATCTTATATACTTGTTGGGTTATGCTTACTTAGAGGGTGTTGTTCGGGTTTGTGGAACTTATTTGATTTTGATGATCTAAATTATTTATTTTATCGAGTCATGTTGGTATATTATCCATTAAAAAAAAAAAGTCGATTAGATATTCTTAACCCCTTCATTTTATTGAATTTGTTTTAAAAAAAAATGGTGAATGTATTTATAAAAATGGACCATTTATTGTTTTTTATACAAATATGATAAAACAAATGAGTTACAAATATAACATCGATTTAATTTTTTTAATGAATAACACAAGATTACAATGAGTTAATGTCATGATTGAAAATGAGAAATTAAAGTGAAATTTAATCTAAAAATCAAGATTAAAAAATATAATTTACCTTATATACTTATTGAGTTAGGCTTGTCTCCCATCTAAATCTAGACCAGAGAGTGTTGTTCGGGTTTGTCGAACTTACTTGGTTTTGATGATCTAAATTGTTCATTTTATCGGGTCATATTGGTATATTATACGTAAAAAAAAAAAAAAAAAAGTCTATTCATTATTCGTAAACCCTTTATTTTATTGAATTTGTTTTTAAAAAAAATAATGGTGAATGTATTTATAAAAATAGACCATTTATTGCTTTTTATACAAATGCGATAAAATAAGTGAGTTACAAATATAAGATTGATTTAATTTTTTTTTTAATGAATAACACAAGATTACAATGAGTTAATTGTCATGATTGAAAATGAGAAATCAAAGTGCAATTTAATCTAAAAATCAAGATTACAAAATGTAATTTACCTTATATATGTTTGACAATGAGTTTTTGGCTAAAAAATCACAAAAGACAAAATAGACTACATAAGCTAATAAGATAAAATGTCACATCTAAACCATAATTATTACATATTTTCTCACAAAAGTCAAAAAAACCAAAAACAAAAACCAAATGAGACTTTCGTTTAGGAAGTTGGTTAGTTTTTTGAATTTTTAGTTTTTTTTGACTATTTTAGCCTGAGGCTAAAAAGCCTGATTTGGGAAGAGTTTTTGATTTTTTTGACTTTTTTGTGAGAAAAAATGTAATGATTATGGGTTGGATGTGATATTTTGTCTTATTGGACTAAAAAACTTATTTTGTTTTTTGTGGCTAAAATAGCCAAAAAAGCCTCAAGTAAGGCTTCCCAAACGAAGCCTAGCCAAAAAATCAGGCTAATTTAGCTCTTTCCAAAAGAAGACTTAGGGATTGTTTGGTTTTCATATTGGGCTAAATAATCACAAAAAGAAAAAAAAAGGTCAAAAAATCACAAAAAGTCAAAAATCGCAAAAGAACAAAAAAAAATTCAACATTATAAAGTTAAAACGCCAAAAAACCAATTAAAAATATCAAACAAATAAAAAAATCTTAGGCTAAAAAAGTCAAAAAATAAAAAAGTTAACCAAAAACGTCATTGCCAAACGAAAGCTTATTAAGTTAGACTTATCTCTCACCTAAATCTAGACTAGAGGGTGTTGTCCGGATTTGTGGAACCTACCTAATTTTGATGATCTAAATTATTTATTTTATTGGGTCTTGCTGTTGTTTTATTCATAAAAAAAATTAAGTCTATCCAATATTCGTAACCCCTTCATTTTATTGAGTTTGTTTTCAAAATAAAAATAAAAATGGTGAATGTATTTATAAAAATGGACCATTTATTATTTTTTATACAGATGCGATAAAATAAATGAGTTACAAATATAAGATCGATTTAATTTTTTTTGGTGAATAACACAAAAATATAGTGAGTTAATTGTCATGATTGAAAATGAGGAATCAAAAATTTAATCTAAAAATCAAGATTACAAAATGTAATTTACCTTGTATACTTTTATTGGGTTAGGTTTATCTCCCATTTAAATCTAGACTAGAGGGTGCTGTTCGGATTTATGGAACTTATTTGATTTTGATGAATCAAATTATTCATTTTAGAGCATCTCCAATCGTTTACCCAAATTTTCACCAAATTTGAGTTAAAAAAGACCTATTTTCTCATTTTGATACAGACTACTCCAATGGTGGGCATCAAAACAAGGGTCGACAGGTAAGGCATATTTTTTTTTTACCTCTTTGAACCTTTTGACCTGTTTGAACCAAAATTTTTGTAAGGGAACCGGTGGACTGGTTGGTCAACCGGCTGGTCGACCAGTTGGTCTCCGTAACAGTCACATATAGTGAAATGGTGAAAGCTGCTGCCTGTTCTCACTTTGATGAATTTTTTGGTGAATTCTCAATTTGATACCGATTTGGGGCAACTGTTGGAGCACCAAATAGTGACTTTTTCACCAAAATTCAAATTTGATGTCAAGTTTGGTAAACCGTTGGAGATGGTCTTATCAGGTCATGCTAGTATATTATCCATAAAAAAAAGAAAAAAAACAAGTCTATTCAATATTCATAACCCCTTCATTTTATTGAATTTGATTTAAAAAAAATAAAATAAAATAATGGTGAACGTATTTATAAAAATGAACCATTTATTGTCTTTTATACAAATGCAATAAAATGAATGAGTTAAACATATAAGATTATTTTAATTTTTTTAAATGAATAACACACATAAAATTAGGCAAAATAAACTATTCAAATTATTAAAATAGAACATGTAATCAGCCCTTCAAACCTAAACAACACTCTACAATTCAAATAATGAACACCCCCTCTCCTATGGTTGGTTTTTAAATTGTGGCCAATCCAAACTTTTAGGACATGTTTGGTAATTATTTCATTTTTAATTTATATATATAAAAATTTTAAAAATTATCATAAAAATTTGTTTGATAATTTTTTTAGTTTGTAAATAGTTGTCTCAGTTTATAAATTTGAGGAAAAAAACATAAACTCAAAAAATGAGTTTACGTTTTTAGTTTTCAGTTTAAATTTTTTTTTTTTCAAATAATTTTTTTTTCAAATAATTTTTTTCAATTATAATGTGTGTGATCCCATTGTCATAAATAATAAAAATAAATATAAATATTTTAGGCCTGAACAAACATATTTTTTAGTTTATGTTTTAAATTTTTTTAAAACATTTTCTTTAAAATCAAATGCGTTTGTAATTTATGTTTTTTTAAAAATAAACAAAAATCAATTTATAAAATTTTTGTAAACATAAACAAAAAACGTAAACATTACTAAACGCTACCTTAAGTTATGTTTGGCTAGGGCTAAATAGGACAGTTGAGATTAAAAAAATATAAAAGATAAAATAGATTAAATGAGTCAATTGTCACATTTAAATTATAATTATTTCATTTTTTCTCTTACAAAAGTAAAAAAAAGTTAACCCAAATGAACTTTTTAATCATAAGTTAAAAAAGTTCTAACTCAAAAAATTATAACTCAAAAAAATCAACTAAGAAACTTATTCAGCTTGTTTGGTTTCCAAACTCCGGATTCACTTTTCAAAAAATCAAAAATTTTTATTTTCGTGTTTTTTTTTTTTGTTTTTACTGAATTTTTTTAATATTTTAAGTATTTTTTTTAATTTTTAAGTACACCTAACATAAATACACTTAAAAAAAATATAATATCTGTGAAAAAATATTTAAAAAATTCATAAAATTCAATAAAATTTTCGTATTCTTGTATATTTATTAATTTTTTAAAATATTTTTTTACAAATATTTTACTTTTTAAATATATCTAAGTAAAGTACATCTTAAAAAAATAAAAAAATTACTTAAAATTTAAAAAATATTCATTAAAAATCCAGGTTTGGTTAAATTACAGATACCCCCCTGAGGTTTCGGAAATTACATCCCGCCCCCTGAGGTTTGTATTTTCATAACAATTTACCCCCTGAGGTTTATATTTCATAACAAATTACCCCCTAATTTCTTATGCAAATATAGCATTCAGGGGGGAATTCGTAATTTCTCAAACCTCAGGGGGTATCTGTAATTTTGTCAAACCTGGAGGGGTGTATATGTAATTTGCCCATGATTTAAAGCCCTAACACGTCTCTCTCTCTCTCTGTCTCACTCTCTCTCTCCAACAATGGCGACCGCTTTCTTATCAAATTTCAATTACTCCGACAGCCTAACCGTGGTCGGAATCTCCGTCTGCACCGCCATAGTCTGCGAAGCCATCTCATGGGTTCTAATCTACCGAACAACCTCGTACAAGTCCCTCAAATCCTCCATCGACAAAGCTTCAAAGAAGCTCGAGACCATGAAGACCGATTCGAACCCTTCCAAGCTCAGCCTCAAGAAGTCCAAGACCAAGAAGATCGATCGCGTCGAGTCCAGCCTCAAGGAGTCCAGCCGCGATCTCTCCCTCTTCAAGTTCAAATCCGGCGCCGTCGTCGCTCTCGTCCTTTTCGTCGTCTTCGGCCTCTTGAACTCTCTCTTCGAAGGCAAGGCCGTCGCGAAACTTCCCTTTGTTCCGGCGCGAATTGTCCAGAAGATGAGCCACAGAGGTTTGCAAGGGGACGATCCCACCGATTGTTCTATGGCGTTTTTGTACTTTCTGTGTTCGATTAGTATTCGGACCAATTTGCAGAAGTTTTTAGGGTTTTCGCCGCCGAGAGGTGCCGCCGGAGCAGGGCTTTTCCCAATTCCAGATCCCAAGAGCAATTGATCTAATCCAAACCCTAATTGATCAATCTTCGGTACCCTACTTCCTTCTTACGTCATATTTTTCATCATGAGGAACTCAGTTATCCTGAAATTATTTTTAGTTTTGGTTGTGTAATTGTGGGATTTTCTGATGAGTACTTGGATTGATTTTAATTCAAATAGAATTTATCTGATACTTGATCTTTAAAATATATCCCTTGCTAGGACTACATGTGTATGTGCAGTTGTGCGCTATACAATTTTGATGATATAGGTGCCAAAGTTAATTGATTGATTCTAATTGGTTTTATGGTCATGATGTTTTAAGTTTTGTGATTATTCTTGAAAGAATATAGAAATATGGAGAGAAGAGCCTGAGTAAAATTAGTAGCATTAAAATTGAATATATGGAATGCAATTTTAGTAACAATACAAGTAAAAATAATCAAGAAGTGAGGATTGAAACTAAAAGACAACAAAGATTGAATATTTTCGTTACCTGAGTTCGATTATTGAAAAGGATGGATAAGTTGAATATGATGTGATCTATAGAATGGAAGTATGTTGACTTTTGACATATTATTTTGTGATCAATGAATACTGAATCAAATAGGCTAAGAAAAACAAACTAGGACAATAACATTCATTGTTGTAATTTGGCATAACTAGAGATTTGAAGGAAAGTTACTTACATCTGCATCTCTCGTCTTAACCCACTCCACACTTTCCAACTAGACTTTATCAAATCTCTCTCTCTCTCTATTTAATTGCAATTACACACTAAAATATTATTGTTCATCTATTTTTTGTAGTTCTATTCTTTTTCTTTTCGCATGTATTCTTTTTTGCATTCCTTAAGTCTTTTTCTTTTCTATTCTTTTCTTTTGTTTTTAAACTTTTGAATTGCCTTCTATTTATTACCACTACAGAATGCAACTATTATGTTTTATTTATTTATGTAAAGCATAGTTGTCAAATTGGGATTCGTATTGTAAATCGAAATAGTTTCGTACCGAATCGCAAATCGAATCGGATCGAATCGTGAATCATAAAGATTCAGTCACTTTTTTAAATTACTTAAAAACATATATATATAAACATTTAGATGTTAAATATGTTTTATGAAGATGAAATAAGTAGACTTAAATCAATGAAAATATTATTTTGAATGACAATCACGTAGTTTAATAGGTACGAAGTTAACAAAAGTTCCTATGGAAGATCACCATCTTATATTTTTTCTTTTTTAGATATTTCTTATCAACCATTCTTAATAAATATAATAATTAAATAGACAAACTATCAATTTTCAAAGTAATAATAATTAACAATGATATTGATATTTGGACAATAAGCATACATACTTTTCTAAGTAACAATGAACAAATAATAAGAAAGAATTATTTAGAATATTTTATTTTAAAACCTAAAACATTTTAAAAGGTATAACTAACCTCACACATGTAATATTCAACTATATTCAATTTAATAAAATAACAATAGATAATTTATAATGTAACTTTAATCTTAAACATCTTTAGAAGACATATTATGTTTTTTTGGAGAAAAAAATGAGAAGAAAAGTTAAAAATATGTTGAGTTTGACTGAATCTGATTGGATCTTATTAAAAACTCCATGATTACTAAAATAACAATAAATCATGTATATATATGTTGGTTATCTTGGTATTAAACGCTATTAGAAGTTATATTATGTCATTTTCACTAAAAAGATGGAGAAAAAAAAGTTGAAGATATTTCAGACACAACAATTTTAAAAATTGCATGAATCGTAAAAAGTGAAACGAATCGTGAATCGATTGTGAATCGTGCGATTCACTAGAGATTTACTTCCAAAATAGATTCACTTATCGATTTGTATTGATTTTGCAAAAATTACGAATCGAATCGTGAATCGTGAGATTTTGATAATAGAGATGTAAAGCTCTCCTTCTGTCCCTAGTGGCGTGGGTTGAGTCATGGAAATAGCCTCTCTAGAAATAGGGATAAGGCTTCGTACATCTTTCCTTCTTTGGACCATACTTTAGTGGAAGCCTTGTGCATTGGGCTGTCATTTTTTTTTTTTAATTTAGAAAGCACTCCTTTTCTTTAAATTCTTTCTCTCTTTTGAGTAGCTACCAACCATCGCCCCCTTCTCTCACTCTCAGCACCCATCTACAACTCCCAACACCTCCACCATAAGAACATAAAGAAAAAAAATAACAATTAAAACATTTAGAAAATTGATAGTTGATAATCGTAAATAGATTTTATGTAAGGGTTTGGTATTTAGAGATGTTTGGATGTGATTTTCTATAATTTTGATTTAGTTCCATGCTATTTGAAAAAAATCGAGTTGAAATTTCGTTCAGCTATGGTTAGCCGAACAAGCTACGATGGCCTTTGGTTACCAAACATCTTGAGGTTGTTCGGACAAGTAAGACTAAACGTCTTAATTTTGCCAATTGTGGTCCATTCAACAAGCCAAATCCGATAAACTTGATTTGTTCAGTTATCTAAGACCAAACAAAGCTCGAACGTAGAAAAAATTTTAGTCTCGAAAAGGTCATCATACATATCAATACCATTCCCCTTTCATTTTCTATCCGTCGTTGTCTTCCTTCTACACACACACACACACATATATATATATATATAGAGAGAGAGAGAGAGAGAGAGAGAGAAGATGTAATGTTAAGGATGAGGGCATGTTTGGTATTACAAGGGGTGTAAAAAGTTACTTTTCAGATTTCAAATTTCTTTAGGGGGATTAATTCGAAAGTCGGTGTAATGAGGTAAAACCATGGTGTAAATAGAATCACCCATTTTAGATTAGGGGAGATATCCAAAGATGGCTAGAGTTTGGACATAGAGAAAGGGTGTTGCAAGAGTTTTTGACGTTGCAGCGGAGAGCATGAAAACGTTATAGTTTGTTTTTCTCCTAAGTAGTTTTAGGAGTAAATGCGTGTTTTAAGATAATTGTCTAGGCAGAACATGAACTTTTGGAAAAAAATGTAGAAAACGGCAAAACTAGGGTTGTCAGCCTATTGGCCCAGGTAGTTATAAAAAAAAAAAAAAAAAAAACCCTATTGGCCAGGGAACTGACCTGTAGCTGGACTGCCCACCTCTAGCTTCTTCAACTGTTCTAGTTTGGGTCGGGTTTCAAGTCCATTTGTTTTGTTTGATTCCCAACACAAGTTTTTGGCTTGGCATGCATACTCTTCCTCTCCCATTGGATTAAAAATTCAGTATGACGGTGATTACAAAATTATTATTGACATGTGAGATCATTCTTCAATAATAAACCACCACAGGAGAGAGTGAACCCCACAACACCATATGGGATGGTGAACCCCACCTATTTTTTATGTAATTACCTTGACCCAACACAATTCAGTGCCACATCTGCATAGTGGGGTTCACTAGATATCCACATGGTGATTTATTACCGGACATAGTGATACTTGTAAGTGATGATGTGGTATCACTTTGGCGACTTGCGAGGATTATATAGAAGATGAGATGAAAATTAAAGTCACAATACTTCACTAGAAAGCAACCAAATTCAATTAACTATACATAAAATTGTTTGTTTGTCTTGGAAATCCATTTTTTGGCCAAAATGGAAAGAAAGTTACTAGGGAAAAGATATCCCAATGATCCTTCTAGCTAGGATGGCCTAGAGTTTGCTTTGCTTTTTTATGAACACACTCTAGGTGGAGTCTAAAATTACAAGCCTCAGTGCATTCAATAGCAGCACGATCATGGAAAAGTTCCCCACAGTGGTTACATGGGGAGTTACCCTCAGGATGTTGAACGAAAGTGAGATTGTGCCAAAAGTGATCTACTAAGTATAATTTGGTCCCAAACTTGATGTTCAAGTATTTCTCGATGGGGTGGATGCATTTTGTATGAAGAGATTGATTGCAATCTCCACAATGATAGAACCAAAGCTTCAAATTTATTTCTCCCTCACAGATTTCACAGTAATACTCATCCATGCTTTCGATCAGGCTCAGAGAATAGGTTAGGGCGAAGGGGTGTTTATCGTATCTATGCCTAACCGTACCTGGTAACAGTGCACATCAAGTGTCTAGGATAAAGTTGCAATCGTCACAGATGAATGTGAGCCCAGAAAAAGTACAATTGCATGCGGTGCACTGAACATCATCACCAGATGTTCTCCTTAGCGTGAGAGTGTGGGTGTGAGCTTTATGTGTGATAGCACTTGGCAGTGAAGCACATTTGACATCCACAAAGAAGCTGCAATCAACACACCCAAACACAAACCCATTACAATCGGTTTTGCAGCCTTGGCAAAGGACTAACTGACCTGTGTCTTGGGAAAATTTCCTGTGAAGATTGTGTTCCGGGTGACATGCGCAGTCCAAGGTATTGGGTAGTTTTGCACACCACACATGGAGAAAGAAGTTGCATGCAGTGCAACTATAAAATGAAGCTGAAATAGGCCGTACACACCCGTTGCATATTTTGTCATTGTTCGTAGTATCATTTTTGACAAACTTCTGTTTGCTTCCAAAACTCGATTCATCATTGATTTGAATGTCAAAAAAAGTTAATGGATGGTCATGACTCTCGTGGTTGATCTCTCTGTCTTTCTCATGGCTGATCTGTTTTGCTTTCTTATTTGCCCCTTTTAGGCGGATCTCCTTCATAAATTCGGTTATCATATCAACAGATTCATCAGGCATTGGCAAGCTGATCGGATTGGGGTCAAGATCTTCGTCTTCATCCTCCGTTTCCCCATCCCTAAAACCACAAAAATTTAAGAAATGGTTGGATCAAATGAAGGAATGCAATGATATTCACATGAAAAAAAGTAGAATAGAGTTAATAATTTTGAGAACGACCAAGTCTACGTACACAAGTAAATCACTGAAACAATACTAAGAACGTATCCAAACAGGTATCCTCAAGCTGGTATCCTCATTATGTAATTATAAATATTTTTGTATGATTTAATTGTGTGTATAGAGACTTATTCTTAGGCAAAAAGGTTTACCTGGGAAGCTCCGGCTGCAACGGTGCACAATACAGATGTGCATAGTATTTGCATTTGGCACAACAATAAACCCAGTATGAGATGTTCACTTGATCACTACAGATTTCACAGACTGTTGAGAATTTCGTATATCTAGATGGATGAGAATGGATGAGCGTGAGAGGGTGACGATGGCGATCACTATGTGGAATGATGCTGGGTAAAGAAGCACATTGCTGGCTGACCCAGAATCCACAGGTGGAACATAGAAATGAGGCGTCTCTATGTTCTTTGCCGCAAGCATCACAGAGAAACAAGGCTGGCTTGTGCAAGGGGATCAGTGGGTGTTTGTGAAATCTTGTGTCTTCAACCTGCTGTTGAATCCTGTATCCCATGGAAGCACAAACTGCGTCGAGCCTGAAGTTGCAGGAGGGGGAGGGGCAGATGTAGGAGAACCTCTTAAGCGTTCCCCTGCAGGCAGAACATTCTGTGTGTTTGTAGCGATAAGGTTGATGTTGAAAGAGAAGAGGGTGATCGGGGTGTAAGTGGTGTTTTACTACCTGTTCGGGTTGTTCTGCACACAGTTTGTGCAAGAAAAACCTGCACTGGCTGCAACTGTAGGAAGGAGAAGGACCCGATACTGGTTGCTCACATCCATAGCAGAAACTGTCGATTCCATCACTCTTATGCTCTGTATTGAAGATCAATGGATGCTCGTGGCTAGAATGCTTGAGCTCCATCTCTCACTCTCTCTCTCTCTCTCTAGTATAGGAGGAGGAGGAGGAGGTCTTGATAAAAAGCAGTATTGGGTGTGAATTGGATGACCAAAGTTGACTTTTATCAGTTTATTGAAACCATTCCTTGTGAACAAGGCCCAATCAATTCTTCGAGGACAGCTGCGTTTATCCTACTTTGTTTGTTTGTTTGTTTTTTTTTGTTTTGCTTTGTTTTGTTTTGTTTTGTTTTGTATGTTTGGTCATTTTTTTTTATATTTTATTTTAACAAGTTCTATTTTTTCACCTTGACTTTTCAAGTTTTTTAATTTTTTTTAAAGTTAATTTATGTTCAAAATTAGATAGAAAATGGTACATTGACAGTCACGTAGTATAAAAAATTTTTATTATATATAACTTATACCTTATACAAACTCAAATTTTAATATAATAATATATTTTTTATGTCATGTGGTAGTTAACGTGGCATTTTTTTGGGTCTAATTTTAAATATAAATTAATTTTAAAAGTAAATTGAAATTTTTTCAATACACTAAGGGTGAAAGTGGGAAAAATAAAATTTTAAAGACTAAAATAGGAAAATGGCCAAATAATAAAGAGAGAAAAATGTAATTTATGAGTAGACTTTTTAGTTATAACTTACAACAATGTGAATCATAGATTTTAAAGTCTTTTGGCAGCGTTTGATTTATGTTTAGAATTATGATTTGATAATAGAGTTATATTTTGAATTTGTGGGTTTTGAAATTATGATTTGAAAAGAGAAAATTTATTTAGTTATGTGTTTTAAATTATGATTTGAATTGAGTGGTGAATTTTTGAAATGGGTGTTAAGTTTATAAAAAGTTATTTGATTATGAGTTTGAGAAGAATTTTTTAAATCTAATAATAACTTATAACTTATAATCAAAGACAATTTAAAATTTTATTCGAAACTTGTAACCGAACTTTTTTTCAAATTTAATTTAAAAAAATAAAAGAATTTTGAAAATATTTTTTATTTACAATATTAAAAAAAATATTATTGTTGTTTTATTTTTTAAAAATTACTGCGACAAATTAATTCCTATTTCAATTTTTTTGTTAATTTTAAATGAATGTCCAAATAATTTGTTATTTTGGTCTCAAAAAAATATTTTCTATATTTAAAAAATATTAAAAATAAATATAATTTTCCCCCCCTCAAATAACAGGTCTAAGTTGCAAAAAAAGAAAAGAAAAAAATACTGTTTCGGTTAACTGGTTGGACGTCCAGAAATGATCTAGTAGAATAAAAATTCAAAAACTCTCGGGTTTACCAATCATGTTTTGAAAAAATGTTTTGAAATTGATTTTGAATCATGGTTTGAAAATTATAAACAAACAGAAAGTTAATAACAAGTGTAGAATTATGATTTAAAAACTATAAACAAACAGAAAATTGATAACAGATGTGTAATCCTGATTTGCTCTAGATATGATGCTGGCAGGTTGGTGAGTTGGGTTAAAACAAGTTTAACGGTTCTTCATAAACTTAAACTGTAAGATATTTTTCTAAAACTTGAATGTATAATACTTGAGTGTACGGGAAAGAAATAAACCTTCTCGTATAATTCTATTGACTAAGTCTACTCTCCTTCATACGTCGTCGCTTTATCACCTGAAAACACAAACGTGAGCTAGTTGGCGGGTGTGTGCCGGAAACCTCTTCGATACCTAAGTTAGTAAGCTTGACAAATAGACAAAGTTCTATGTATTCAGAAAGCAAAATTATGTGTTCCCTCTCCAAAGGTGATGTTTGTGAGCTTTTATAGGTTTCGTGTGGCACAATCCTAGTAGGACTTCTATTCCTCCATGCAGAGTCCTCATAGGATTTAACCTCCTGAAGGATAATCTTTATCCTCCAACACCCCCCTCACTGCTTAAACCAAGTGAGATGGTTATTACCATGGCCGAACTCCAACATGACCGAAGTAATCATAGCTATGCTGAGCCGCAGAGTAGGCCGAACTATCCTTAGTTTGTTTCTTTCTTTTACTCCTCCTTATCTCGGTGCTCTTATGCACAAATCATGGTATGTTTAGACCGAGCTACTGAGTAGCAAGGTTCTGACCGTTCTAAACACAATACATCATGACCGGACTAACTCTGAGACCGGCCTAACTCCAAGTCACTTCCGAACCGGAGTAACTTTACATTTCTCTCAGGCCGGAGTAATCTTTTACCTCTCTTGGGCCAGAGTAATTTTACGGCCTCTTTACTCAGCCCTTCGTACTTTGGGCCATAATGTCCATCTCATAGCTCGGCCCAATTTTCACCAAAATTACCCTCTCAATTGCCCCTTAATTCCATCTGCACAGCATGATTGGGATTATCTGTCTGTCAGCCAAGCTGAAGTTTTTAAGCCTTTCCAGCTGAGCTAAAAAACCCTTTAGCCTTTCCAGCCGAGCTAAAACTCTTAAGTCTTTCAGCCGAGCTAATTTTATACCGGGCTCTGCTTATCCGGTCAAAACGTCTCTTCAATCACAGCGACTGAATCGTTTCTCCTTCCCAGGACACGTGGCACGCTCTGATTGACTGAGGACGGCTGTCACGCCGTCTTCGTACTTCGTGAAATTTGAACAGTCCCGCCCTTTTTCCTTTTCCTAAAACGAGCCTCTTCATTTTTGCCATATTTTGTAACTTCTCCCTCTCTGTGCCTCTACTACTTCTTCAATCTTCTGAGCTCGTGAACTGTTGTTTTTTGCTTCCATCTTCTGCTCCTGCTTCCTCATCTGGTTAGTATTGTACATCTTACTTGCTCTGTTTGTTTTCGTATTTGTTCTATGTGTTTTGTTTCCTGTGTTTTTTGCAAACACGTTTTTTCCGTTTTGCTTTGCTCTGTACTTCTATGGGAAAAACTTAACAGTAGAACATATGAGTATATGAAATATCCGGTAGAAAACAAGTTTCTGATCCAAAATCATGATGCAACCGAACTAGGATACTGTTTAAGCTAGGTAAAAGTCTAGTCAGCTTACAACCGGACTAACACTTCATGTTCACACCAGTAGCTTTGAATAAGTCAAACCATTTCTTGATAGACCTTAGCTGAGGTAACCAACCGAACTAAGTTTGCACTTAATCACACTGAGATACCTGAACTCCAACCGATCTAGGCCTTTGGGGCTAAACCAGCTTTCTTAGTGTTTTAGATGGAACTCAGAAAGCTGCCCCTAGACAATCAACCGGTCAAACAGAACCGTTTCCACAACCGAGATATCTAGACGCTTGCCAAGCCCGAACTAACAAAGCCCTGCTCAAATCGAGCTACAAATCACCTTGCAGAAACCGAGTTAGAACCTGTAGCATCCACATAGCCAAAGTAGGGCTCCTATTTTTTGTACTTTTATTTTGTAGCACAGTCCGATGACCTGTGCTTAACCCCTTTGTTTTCTACTTTGTCGACTTAGGTTGCCCAAACACTCCTCTGCGCACTCAACCGAGCTACTGAGAACCATTTTTGGACCGAACTAATTTATTCGTAAATTATACAATAAATGGGGAAGTATAGGTATCTAGTAGACACTCCGGGCGGCCTAGCCGAATTCAGAAAAGACTACAATATACCCGATGACGTCCACCTGATTTTAGCCGAGAAAGATGTCATTCCTTGGGGCAATGAAGGCTTTGTCCCCTTCACCCTCTTATCCATAATTGAAACCGGACTACGGTTTCCAGTGCAACCTTTAATTTGCGAGTTTCTTAGGCAAACTAGACTATGCCCAACCCAACTATCCACCAACTCATACCGCATAATAATGGGAATAGCCGAACTAAACCGGCAAGCCGGTCTCAACCTTGGTCTGGCCGAAATCTTTCACCAATACTCCATTGGTTCGAAGGAAGACGGCTAGGTGTACTATCTCAGAATACGCCGCCGTCGTGAGAAAATAATAAAGAATACACCGGATAAAGACTTAAACGATGACGATTTTTTCTGGGTGTCTGGGAACTTTGAGGACCACCAAGCCCAGATTCCTGGCCGAAGGATCAATTGGAAAAAAGGAGAACCCGGTATAATTACTTCGGTTTTCTTGCGTGCTATTTGATATTTCAGTTTTTTAAACTTTCAGCCGGACTAACAGTTCTTCTTTTGCAGATTCTGCCCACCTCCATTCTTTATATAGCTACCCAAATCTAGCGACTTTGCGCGCCGCACTACGGTGTCCAGAACATAGTTGGGCTAAGCTACTAAAAATCGAGCTGACCTACAGATACAGCGGCTGCCGAAAAGCGAGAGTGACCGACTTTCTGCTCGAGGAGGCCCCAGAACCGGACCCAACCTTACCAGAAATCAGACTAATCCCACTAACTGCTGAAGAGGAAATGGCTAAAATGAACAGAGTAAGGGCGCTTCTAACCGAAACTAACAGACCCGAAGTACCGCCACCAAGCCAAACGCAGCCTGCCGTTGTGGCCTTCCATTCTCAACAGCCTTCTTCCTTACGCCCCTCTAAGCGCGCCCGATCTACCCCGACCGAACAACAACTTGTGGATGAGGACGAATCCATCCCTCCACCAAGTCCTCAACCCATCCTTCAACCGGAGCAATCTGACCGAGCTGACTCCTCCAAATGGGCTCCAATTCTCACCTTTCAAGAACGAAATATCCAAGAGACTGACTCGGTCGTTGCTGAGAAGGATCACTTGATGGCTTTCAATCTAGCCAAGAGTGTTTGCCTTCCAAAAGATATGGAGCACCACAACAAGCAACTAAACACCGAGCTGAAGGCCATCCGGTCTTCAACAAAATCAATAATCCTGGTAAGTGGCTCACCCTTTTCTCTGTCTAACTTTTCCCAACTGTCAGTCCGGCTAAAGAGAGTTACTACTCTTTTGCAGGCCATTTAGAAGAACAATATTGCACATAAGAAAGTACTGGAGCTCCGCAAGACAACCAGGCATGCCATGGCAGATGCCGAGGCAAAGACAGCCGAACTTGAGCATGCCAAGAAGCAGATAGCCGAGCTACAGTTCGAGAACGGCCGCTTGACCGGACTTGTTAGCTCGGTTGAAGCTGAAAAACAAAAAATTGCAGTAACGGTGAAAGATAAATACTTGCGCGAGTTGGCCAAACTCGAAGGCAAAAAAGACGCCAAAATAGTTGATCTCAAGAAGAAGGTCGGTGATGCCAACGCCCAAGGTTTCAAAGAGGCGGAGGGCCTATACATTC